TACATATACACCAGTTAATTAATTGCAGTTCATTAGTTTTCTTCTTGCTTCCCAGTATACTGGGTTTTCCGTCGTTGTCTTTAGAGCTAGACACCGAATCGGGTGGGTCTTCTCCATTTCCTCCTGTTGGTTACATAGGGGGCAAGTGGGTTGAGTGCATACTCCCAATCTGTGAAGGTGTTTAGCCAGGCAGTCGTGTCCAGTATGTAGTCTAAACTCAGCAACGACTTCGATTCTTGGCCAGTCGGCTATGTCGGAAAGTGCCACTGTCCACTGTTCCTCCTTTGTTCGAGCTTTAAGTTCGTTGCACCTTGGGGTCTTGAATTCTCTCCTGATTAAGGTCTTCATTGTGTGGAAAGACATCGGCCGGTCTATGTTTAGCAAAATTGTGGTCCCCTTCTTAGCAAGTGCGTCTGCAATCTCATTGCCTTAAATGCCACAGTGACCAGGAATTCATTGTAGGACCACTTTTGTTTTTCTCTCTCAGCAGCTGATAGTGATTTTTACATCCGTATATCGCAGCTGTTTTGGGTGGCTCTCTGTTTTAAACTGAGTTTATTGCTGACTGTGAGTTCGAAAGTATCACCGCTTTGAGTTTCTCGCTGACTGTGAGTCCAGAAGTATCACCGCTTTGGTGAATTTCGTATCCAGGCAACATAATTGTCATGGTGCTATCCTAATGGCCTCTATTTCTCCTTCAAAAGCGATTAGTGCTAACCTAATGGCTGCTATTTATCCTTCGAAAGCGGATCTATTATGTCCAGCTGCTGCGTAGGAAGAGAAGAGTTCAGAGTAGACACCTGCACCAAAGTTTGCATGGTTTTCTATGTAGGACCCATCAGTGAAGACTTGGAGCCATTGATCTGCAGGATAGTTGACATTGATTGTCTCAGGGGCCAGTGAGGGTGTTTGATTTCCTGAAGTAGTCAAGCAGTTGGTTGCAACACACTACATCAATGTCTGCTAATGGGTTCATGGGGGAGGCTACATCAATGTCTGCTAATGGGTTCATGGGTAGAGGGAGGCTTTTGGGTTTGTCATCGAATTGTAAATCTTTCTTCAATTTCATGGCTTTCTTTATTAGATCAGATTGCGTATTCAGATGTCTTGATCTATTCTCATAGGTGCTGAAGAACTTATCCATGGGAATGCGCAGTAGCTTCTCATACAGGATCAAGGCCTTTTCTTTGATAAGGGAGCCTCTTGTGGTGTTAGGATCAAGGCCTTCTCTTTGATAAGGGAGCCTATTGATGTGTTTCCTGTAACTTGGAGCATTGCATCAATGGGTGTTGGCACTTCCTGTAACTAGGAGCATTGCATCAATAGGTGTTGATTTTATCCCTGAACATGTGGGAACATATTGTAGTGCTTCCTGTAACTAGGAGCATGGCATGCACAACATATTGTGGTGCTTCCTGTAACTAGGAGCATTACATCGCATATTGTCGTGCTTCCTGTAACTAGGAGCATTGCATCAATGGGCACTTCCTGTAACTAGGAGCATTGCATCAATAGGTGTTGATTTTATCGCTCCAGTCTTTGATAAGGGAACATATTGTAGTGCTTCCTGTAACTAGGAGCATGGCAAGAACATATTGTGGTGCTTCCTGTAACCAGGCGCATTGCATCAATCTTATTGTGGTGTTTCCTGCAACTTGGAGCATTGCATCAATGAGTGTTGATTTTATGGGAACATATTGTAGTGCTTCCTGTAACTAGGAGCATGGCAGGAACCTATTGTGGTGCTTCCTGTAACTAGAGCATTGCATCGCATATTGTCGTGCTTCCTGTAACTAGGAGCATTGCATCAATGGTTGTTGGCACTTCCTGTAACTAGGAGCATTGCATCAATAGGTGTTGATTTTATCGCTCCAGTCTTTGATAAGGGAACATATTGTAGTGCTTCCTGTAACTAGGAGCATGGCAAGAACATATTGTGGTGCTTCCTGTAACCAGGCGCATTGCATCAATCATATTGTCGTGCTTCCTGTAACTAGGAGCATTGCATCAATGGGTCCTTCCTGTAACTATGAGTGGGAACATATTGTAGTGCTTCCTGTAACTAGGAGCATGGCAGGCTTATTGTGGTGTTTCCTGCAACTTGGAGCATTGCATCAATGAGTGTTGATTTTATCTTTGATAAGGGAACATATTGTAGTGCTTCCTGTAACTAGGAGCATGGCAAGAACATATTGTGGTGCTTCCTGTAACCAGGCGCATTGCATCAATCTTATTGTGGTGTTTCCTGCAACTTGGAGCATTGCATCAATGGGTGTGATGTGTTTCCTGTAACTTGGAGCATTGCATCAATGGGTGTTGGCACTTCCTGTAACTAGGAGCATTGCATCAATAGGTGTTGATTTTATCGCTCCAGTGGGAACATATTGTAGTGCTTCCTGTAACTAGGAGCATGGCAACAACATATTGTGGTGCTTCCTGTAACTAGGAGCATTACATCGCTTATTGTGGTGTTTCCTGCAACTTGGAGCATTGCATCAATGAGTGTTGATTTTATCTTTGATAAGGGAACATATTGTAGTGCTTCCTGTAACTAGGAGCATGGCAGGAACCTATTGTGGTGCTTCCTGTAACTATGTGATAAGGGAACCTATTGTGGTGCTTCCTGTAACTAGGAGTAACAATGGGTGTTGATTTTATCCCTCCAGTAATTAGTCATAATTCTTGGTAGTGTGCCTTCTCGAGGGGTTTGAGAGTCACCTCATGGTTGTGTGCCTTCTCGAGTGGTTTGAGAGTCTCCTCTATGGCTGTAATGAGTGGTTAACAGCAATACAACATTATTGGCTGAATAAACATCTTGT